AAATATAGTATTTATGAAAATAAATTAATGAAAGACTTAATTTTTGTTGTGTACATTTATAATGTGTTTACTAAACCTAATTATTGATGTAAATAAAAATGAATCAAGGAGTAACTTAAAATCTGAATTGGGGCGTTTTCTTTTGAACCTGTCACTCCCTCGCAAGAAAACATATGGTCAAAAATCGGATTCTTGACAGGGTACGTTCCCGAGTAAAGCCATGTGAAGAGCCCCGATACCGCGGTTAGGATTTAGGACGCTAACCCCAGGGTTCGACTCATCGCGGCGTTGCGGCCGCTGGCCGACGCGAACCCTGGGCGAGCAGCGCCGAGTACCGAGTCCGGTTACATAATGGTGCGAAAATGCGGCTTTCGCGAACGGGCGGGGAGGGGGTATAGGGTGAGGGGGTGCTGATCTCATGTTATTCTGTTGTGTGCCATGTTGGGGCCTAACTTGCTGGAAGTAGTCAAATCAGGCGAGACGTGAACGCCTGCTGTTGCTTCAGGGCCCTGAAAAATAGGCAACCCACCCGCATACATGCATGCGGTACAGTCAGTGTCACCCACCCTGCGCAACTCTCAGCAGCCTATGGTGATCGTGCTGAAAGTACGTCCGTTTTTTTGCTCCATTCGGCAAATGGCTCGCTCGCCGCCTGCGAGACTCGGGGTAGACCACCCCGCCGTACACGCGAGCACTGCAGGCAAGATGTGGCCTACCCACCAGGCGCCATGAGACCTTTCAGAGGCGGCTGAGCTTGGCATGTTCGTAACGGAGAATGACGGACGCATTCTCTGGGTACATCCCATGGGCCGTTCGTCTCGGCTCGCTGTCCTGCAACTCACAAGGGGGCATTTTGTATAGTCCAGGTCGCGGTCCGGGACGCCCTCCCTCGGTGACCCACCTGAGTGGCACAATGTGCGTCGCTCAGTAGTTGTGTGCTGTCACGTGGGCAGCCTAACTGCTCACACCGTACAGGTAGCATTGGCCTGGGCCCGGATTACCGTCCCAACTGTGCCCTACGTTCGGAGTATACCGCTTCTAGGCGATGGTGACTAGCGATGAATGTGCACACCTGGAGCTAAACAGAGAGCAGAAGGGGTGCCAGCATTTGCGAACCCACGGACGGGACGGCACTAGCCTACCGCAGGGGATAGGCCGGACCCGGCCTGACGGCGTGACTCGAGAAATGGGTGTGGCTCCAGTTCGATATGAACAAGCAGTCGTTATAACCCTCGTTGAAGTTGAAGTGAAGTGCAGTGCCGGTGTGACGGCGGTAGTCCTGGTGGCCCAGTGGCCTTGTCACCCAGAGGCGCCGCCACCGCCACTGCATGCGCGCCGCCGGGCTTAGACCCCTGACAGATAACCCAACTGTTTTTTGTGAGGGAATGTCCAAGCAGCGAGTAGCCTGATCCTTGGCGTGACGTAGGCGCTGATTAGGGGGGTGGGGAGAGGGAGAGGGGCTGCTGTCCGGTCGGACGGAGTCTACATATACTCCGACGGTGCCCGGACGGCGCCGGTTAGGGTTGGTCTTCGGGCTGATTCGCCGTCAACATGGCGCTCCCGGACGTCAGGTACAGTAGCGCCCACCGGCCGGGCCACCCTCCTCCACACCGCCCCAGCTCCGTTCGGTTCGGCCGTGCGCTTTCACCGTTCCGCGGGTTTTGTTTTGAACCGAGCGCGCGCGCCATCGACTTTTCCCCCCCTCTTTGCTCGTGCGATATGCTCATCGTGTGTGGTGACCCCGGAACTGTGAGCGCGTGTCTGTGCTCCGGCGGCGGAATAAAATATGTGGCGTTGCGGGGCAGAATTTTGGGGAATTTTGCGGGTTTGATGATCGCGCGTGCGTGCAAGTCCCACATTTATCAGTGGCGCGTGCGGATCAGATGTCTCACAATAATTGCAGACTCACCGAGAGGCGATTAGGTCGCGACAGTTGTTAATCTGGGCGCCTCGATTGGGGCGTTATCTCCGCCTTACCTGGATGTTATAAAGCCTGGGGTGATCCGCGCGCGGCACGCGGGGGGGCCGCTAATCTCCTGCCAATGGGACGTAATCCCTACATGATAGCCGGGCGGCTACTCTGGGATTAATCAGATAGGCACAAAAGTTAAAGAGAAAATCCTTTGCAGGATTCATGTTTTGTTGCAAGATTGTTTTTTTCCAATTTTTTTTTCTTTTCTTTTTTTTTTCGGAGAAGGGTTAGTGGGGCATGGTTACAGTTTAGTAAAATTACCATAACGATTTTAAAAAAAAATACTCTGATGCACACACAGGTGGGGCCATGGCTGCCTGGCAGCAGGGCTGCTCCTGGCAGTGGCAGTGGCCACGGCGCAAGCCGCACCCCCGGGCGGGGACTACCGCCTGTCCGGGGACTACGTCCCCACCCACTACAAGCTCAAGATGGTGCCGTACCTGGAGGAGAACAACATGCGCTACACCGGCACGGTCGACATCACGATCAAGGTGGCCGCGGCCACCGGCAAAATGAGCGAAATGACCCTGCACGCCCACAAGGACCTCACCATCAAGGTGGACAGCCTCGTCGACACCGCGACTAAGACATCTCACCTGTCACCTAAAGACCCAGTGTTTAGCAACGACGACAAGCAGTTCTTTACGATCTACTTGAACAATCC